AAAAAAATAGCCAGGCATTGTGGTGGGTGCCTGTAGTCCCAGCTACTCAGGAGGCTGAGGCAAGAGAATTGCCTAAGCCTAGGAGTTGGAGGTTGCTGTGAGCTGTGATGCCAAAGCACTCTACTGAGGGTGATAAAGCGAGACTCTATCTCTTAAAAAAAAAAAAAAAGATGGCAGCCTAGATGGGCCAGAGACCAGGGTTTAAATTGGGGGTCCAAATGATCTTTGGGGCAGGGATAAGAACACACATCTCACCCCCTGCCCTGGTGAGGCTGTGAGCAGATGGACACAGAGCTGTGAGCCCTTGTTTTTGCTGCATGCAAAGAGGCAGGCCCAGAAAGGTAATTTTCTTCTGGAGACTGCTCAGAGTAACAGCAGGAAAAATGCTGTGTGAGCACAGCAGGGTCTCCTGCACCTCATGTTCTGACAGCTGCAGAGCTCTCCCACTGCATAAGATGAGGTCCAAGTCACTTCCAGGACTCAGGACACTACTGAGCAGCATGTGCCTGTTTAAAGCCCGGAGTTTTAGGGCAGGGGGAAGAAAATGGTAACTTGTGTCTCCAAGTGGGACCAGAGGCAGGACTGGGAACAAACAGGAGCCCCATCAGGCACTCTCATTCAAACCCAGGCCAGGTGAAGGCAGCTTCTGAATTACCTGTTGACAAGTAGTTGGGCTGGATCACCGGGTGGTCCTGTGGATTGGCACTTTTCAGTTTGATCCATCCCACACTTGTGCTCCTCATGGGCCCCACATGCACCTAGGAGAACAGAGAGGAAGGAATGATCCTCGCCAACCTCAGTAGCTCGGAGGGGCTCTGGATGTCCTGCAGGGTGCTCTCTGCTTCCAGAGCCATTAGGAGCAGGTGCACTCGGGCACTGCCTCCTCTTACCCACTCCACAAAGGGTCAAAACCCACCCCAGTGACTACTCCTTCCAGGCCTTCTGGGGTCCAGTCATGTTTGTTTGTCCCACTATGGGTGCTTGGGACCTAGACATCTGTCCTAAGCTGGGTGCACCACACAGATTGCCTCTCTGGGCTCCCCTGCTCCTCTCCCTACTGTGAACACCAGCCAGCTGGAGGGCAGGGGACAAGCTTCTGTGCCCGCTCCCTTGAAGGCCCTGTGCTGCAGAAGATGAGAGCATCTTCCCTTACTGAAGGGGAAAAGGAAGCGTCCCATGGATCAAGCCTCCATCTGCTCACCTGATAAGCCTCTTGCTGGGTGGAGACCCGCCCATGGTCAATCACTTGGGATGGCAGGAAATGGAACTGGATGTCTGGGTGTGGGACCCCAGGCTTGCTGCGGATGAACCCCCCTGTTTCCAGATGGGCAGAGGCTCCATACCCTGAAAATGAGGAAAAGACCAGGCAGAAGAGCCAGTCAGGGCAACCACCTTTCTCCCAGCTTCCATCTGGTGCCTGGGTCCAAGCCCTGTCCACCCACATCTGTCCTCTTCCCCTGGTGGCTCATCTAGCACCACTGCATCAAATATCAACTCCACGGGGACTTCAGCTTGGCCCTCTCCTGGGCCAGTCCCACCAACTAGCACAACACACAAAACATAGGTGTGCAAGAAACATAGTTTGTTAAATGAGTGGGACTTCAAAGCACCGTTTCCTGACCTAGGTAGCACCCTAAGACACAGCTGAGACACAGCTAGACACAAATGAAATTGTTGAAAGATGGATGCTGATTCCTCAAGGTCTCTCCTCTGCACCTCTTCTCCTGGTTCCTTGGACCCCACATGGTGTCTAACTCAAGGCCATCCACTTCCATCTATAATGAAGAGCCACATCTAACCTCCAGCAGTCATACTTGAGCAGTCCCACACCGAGCAACTTAGTTGCTCGCTAGCCTGCCAGGCAGGAACTGTGTAGCCCTATCTTGCAGATGGGAAAACTGAGGCTTATGGCTAAAGTAAATGCCAAAGTTCAGCATCAAGCTCAGCACTGAGGCCAGAGCCCTCACTTAGTTGATTAGGAAGGCGGCCACAATGCCCACAGACCATCTGCACCCAGGCCACAGGTGAGCATGCCCACCTGTGAACTTCCAGAGCCACTCCAGACCAATGTGGACCATCTTCAGGGGCTTCTGTGCTGAGTGGAGGGTGATGGGGTGGGTGCATGCCTGCTGAACGTATATCTCCAGATGGTCTTGCAGGTTCTGGCCAACTCCTGAAATGGGAAGGAGTAGTCAGGAAAAATGGCTTCTCCATAGAGCCCTGGCTTTGAAAAATTTCCCCTATCCACTGATTTTCTGGGCCAGCTCCTGCTTGATCCCCAGGTCTGTCTAAAGGCTGCCTCCCAGAGACACCAGGCACTCCCAGCCAAGCCCGGCCCCTCTCATGCTCTCGAGGGCAGCCACCAGGTGCCCTCTGTCCATCCTGCTCAGCTGCACCCTCCATGGGGGCAGAGCCCACAGCTGGAACAGGCGCTGCTTGGTGAGTGTGATGGCCAAGTGGCCAGACAGAAGCCCAATGCACTGGGCAGGTCACTGTCAACAGAACCACACTCCCATGGGCCCTTCACAATGAAGCTTGTGTGCACAAGGGCCCTGTGGGAGCAAGGGTTACCAAGGGCAAGAAACAGAGCCAGGCCCTCAAGGTCATCGATGGTAGTTTATGTCAGAATGAGACAGGCAGGCTCTGCAGCGCTGAGCCGAGCACATGGACAGGAACACAGAGCCTGGACCCCATCGCCATGGAGCTGCTCTGGGGACGTGCTTGCACCCCTTCCAGCAGGATAGGAGGCTGGAGAGGGAGACAGAAACACCATGAAGACTCAGGGTCTAGGGGTGAGGGTGTCTGTCCACAGAGAACAGGGGAAGGACATGACATTTCCAAGGAGCACTCTTGCTGTCTCCCTGCTCCGTAAAGAAAATACAAAAAGGCACTTAGTTGAGCAGGGGCAGACTTTGGGGAGCAGTGAAAGGGACTTACCAGGCAGGTGGCACACCACAGGGATGCCCAGTCTCTTGAGGTCATCTGCATTGCCGACACCCGAGAGCATGAGCAGTTGTGGAGAGTTGATGGCACCTCCACTCAGGATCACCTCTCTGCTGGCGTAAGCCTGGAAGGGGCAGAGGGCCAGCCAAGTCATGCTTCCCAACAAGCCAGCTGCTGTCCTGCCTCACGGGTCAGTGCCCTGCTCTAGCTGGCACCATGAGAATGGGCCCACACTGGCAACTGTGGCACATCCCACACCACAGGGTCGTAGGACAGGACACGAGGGTGTAAGTGGACTAAATGAAAGCAAGTGGTCTAAATAAGGCAAGCAGTGAGCCAGATCCACACCTGAGGTGTAGAACAATCCAACACCCTGCTACCAAGGAGGAGCACAGTCACATCCAAGGATGTTCAAACTCTTAACCCCATAACCTCCTGTCACATTGGTGCCCTAAAATGCATGGAAGGCACTGGGGACTGCTCTAAGGTAGGCGTCCCACACAGGCTCCCAGGGCACCCTCACCAGGGTGCAATGGGCCCTCTGCAGGTGGCAGGGCTGGGGCTTGCTCACTTCCACCAGCCCACTGATGCTTGTGAGACCCTAGGGAGAACCCATTAGGCCACTGCCACCAGCTATTCACTCCTCATCACAGGGATGAGAGCGTGTAGGGAGGAGGAGGGCGTGACCTCTGCCTGCCCTAAGCCTGACCCCCAGGGTCCCTGCCTGCACTTGTCCTTCACTCACCCTGTGGCTCTGGCCATTCTTGACATACTCCACACCCACTGCACGGGTGCCCTCAAACAGCACCCTATTCACAAACGTCCGGGCCTCGGCCTTGAGGTTGCTGCGGCTCAGGGACGGGTGCAGGTAGGCACAGGCTGTGCTCCAGCGCTTGCCTGCAGGATGAGCAAGGAAGTCAGGCCTGGCCTCACCCTTCTCCACTGCACGTGCCCTGCCCTGACTTTGCAAGCCCTGTCAAAACAGCAAGGCTGGGACCAAAAGACCCTGCCCTGCTGATGTCCACATCTGCCTGTGATCCCCTGGGGACAGGGAGAAAAAGAATCTTCCCCTTTGACAGGATGACACAGAGACCAGGAACAACTGACAGATGGAGAAGAACCCTGAAGAGGTGGGCAGGAGCCCAGGGCAGCCTGGCCTCACCTCAGTCCTGCTGTGAGCAAGACCTGTCACCACTCTATGCCTCAGTTTCCCCACCTATAAAGGATGGACGTGTCCCTGGCAAGGAAAGGAGACAAGGAGAGGGAGAAAGAAGCCCACATGCTCCTTGCTGCCTCTCCGTGCCTCAGCTTCCCCACCTGCAAGTCTCTAAAGAACTTTGGGCTTCTTGTCCTCTGATTCTCCATTTTCCACACCAATAGGGGCCAGAGGGCCAGAGGCCCAGAGAATGGGCTTTTTTTTTTAGACAGAGTCTCACTATGTTGCCCTTAGTAGAGTGCCATGGTGTCACAGCTCACAGCAACCTCAAACTCTTAGGCTTAAAAGATTCTCTTGCCTCAGCCTCCCAAGAAGCTGGGACTACAGGCATCTGCAATAATGCCTGGATATTTTGTTGTTGTTGTAGTTGTCACTGTTGTTTGGCAGGCCTGTCCTGGGTTCAAACCCGCCAGCCCTGGTGTATATGGCTGGCACCATAGCCACTGAGCTATAGGCACCAAGCCCTCATGGGCTTTGAGTTGTATTCTGTGGCATGGAATGCAATAAGTCACCATGATGGGGGGCAGATTTTTCTTTTTTTTAAAAAAAAAAAAGGAGGAACCAGGTGGATGGGGAAAGATGGCCGCATGCTACCTTCATGGATGGTCATGTCCGCCCAGCCAAAGCCTTCTTGCTGGAAGCCGTTCATGTCTTCAGTGAAGGGGTAGCCGGCCTGCTTCACCGCATCCAGGAATGCCTGGTGCAGCAGGTGGTTGGTCTTGCCCCGGGACACGTGCAGGGGGCCTTCACCACCACGGTACCTGCTGGCACCCAGCTCGTGGCACTGGGCCTTGCGGAAGTAGGGCAGGCAGTGTGCATAGTCCCAGCCCTCAGCGCCCTCAAGGTGCCAGCGGTTGTAGTCCTCGGCATGCCCCCGGACATAGACCATGGCGTTGAGGGACGAGGAGCCTCCCCAGACGCGGCCGCGTGGCCAGTACATCACCCGGCTGTCCAGGCCCGGCTGCGGCTCCGTGTGGTAGTACCAGTTGTACCTGTTGTTACACAGGTTCATCATGAGGGCTGCTGGCATGTGAATCTTCCAAGATAGCCGCTTGCTCCCTGCACGCAGGTCCTTGGGCCCAGCCTCCAGCAGCAGCACGTTCTCATTGGGGTCCTCTGTGAGCCGACTGGCCAACACACAGCCTGCAGAGCCTGCACCCACCACCACGTAGCTGTACTCCTCCTTGTTCTTGGAACCCACACTGGCCAGACCACGAAGGCCCATGAGCTGCTGTTGCCCCAGGGTTCCCCATGCCAGGGCTCCCTGTGGGCCCAGGAGCCCTTGCCTCCAGCCTCGCAGGACATGCCACATGCTTCTTGCCCAAGTCTTCTTATCCACAGAGGGGAATGAGGTGATTCAATTTTTCCTAAAACAGGAAAAGGAATTTAAAAATCTTAACTCTGGGCTCGGCGCCTGTGGCTCAAGAGGCTAAGGCGCCAGCCACATACACTTAAGGTGGCAGGTTCGAATCCCCAGCCCGGGCCCACCAAACAACAATGATGGCTGCAACCAAAAAATAGCCGGCACTGTGGCGGGCGCCTGTGGTCCCAGCTACTTGGGAGGCGGAGGCAGGAGACTCGCTTGAGCCCAGGAGTTGGAGGTTGCTGTGAGCTGTGAGGCCATGGCACTCTACCCAGGGGGACAGCTTGAGGCTCCGTCTCAAAAAAAAAAATCTTAACTCTGCAGGCATGTGCAGAGTCAGCCCCCCCAAGTGGGCAGCCATGCTGCACAGGCTGTGGCCTGCTCACCACAGGCCTGCCCAGAGCCAGGTGGGCAGGCCCAGCCCCAATGGTCACCACACTGAGGACTAGAGGGAGTGCCAGTTACACCTGTGCCAAGATGGACAGGCATAGGAATGGCCTTCCCTGTGCCATCTATGCAGGAACCTGGAGGGGGGCAGCAGTCTGCCTACTGGAAAGGAAAGGATTGAGAAGGAGAGAAACAAAACAGGGCACCTGCATCCATTTGAGACTGCTACCCAGCCCCTACCAGCTGCTAGGCACTGCTTTTGTCTCTAATAATACATAGAAAGACATCTACTCTCAAAACTGATGGTCTAGGGCCACGGTTAAGGACCAGACTTAAGTAACAGAGAAGGTCAGAGTGAGAGGCATGAGACTATGGAGCTCAAAGCCTTTGACCTGACAGGGTAATGGGGTGTGCTAGAGTGGTTTTATGCAGCAGACAGGGTCAGAGCTACACTCTTCAAATACTACTCTGTGGAATGCTAGAGTTTATACAGAGAAATGGCAATAGCTTTTGGTGGGTTCTTTCCCAACAACATTCAAATCAATCCCAACATACTTAGCGTACAGAGGTGGAAAAGAACCAGGGTATGTCATCAAAATCTCCACTGACAAGAGCATCAGAGAAAGTCCTACCCACAAGGCTCAGGCCTACAAGGGCTGCCCAAGACTAAAGCTGAAATAAAAGAAAATCCTGTAAACCACCAC